TAAACAAGATTTATATGTATGTAGAAATTTCTGAAATATACGATTAACCAATCCTATTCTCCGCATATATCATATACAATATTCGAGAAATCATATTATTATTATTTTATCAGAGACACAATTATTTAACAAAAATTAATCTAGATTATTTTATTTAGCAGATATTGAAAGATTCCCTTTTTTCTTATCGCAATATATTAACTTCAATATAAAATATCCTGATAATTAAAACTCAAATCCCATTTCTGTTAAAACAAAATTCATTAGAAATTGATGGAAGAGTAACGCGTTTTGCTATTTATATTACGAAATATGTATTGAAGTTTAATATTATTTTTTAAAAAAAGTTTTGTAATTTTCAATATTAAATATTTTCATCAAGAAGAGAAATCGATTACAAATTGATAAAATTGATAAATACAAATGGAATAAAATTTTAAATTCTATAAGGATTCCATGCATCGCATATATTACAATTATAGAATTACAAAGCATGATTATAGTTAAATGCTCATGATTTACATCGTAAATGACGTGGCAAAGTAGAACGTAAATTATCAAACTATATCTCTTATAGAAAAGCTTTCCTACACGAGCAGAGGAAAAGATATATAATATAAAGAGAATATGATACACTTTAGCTATGATATCGATTATGCTACTCAAGATTATATACTCACTGCCTCAAAACTTTCAATTGCATTAAACGTGGAACTATACACAGTACGTTTTACTCTGGTAAGAGGCCATGATATAGAAGTCACAGAAACATTGTCTAGAGTTACAAATAATTAGATGTAATTCTATAAAATTATATCTTTAAATCTTTTTCTTAAATCTAGAAGAGAATCGACTACAGATATTAAATATAGTTATATGAACTCTTATTATCGTATAGTTCAATACATTAATAATATCTCGCGGATATAATATTTATGGAATATTGTATTTTCCTCAAGCTTCAAAATTTTTTTGATAGATTAAGATGCATTAATTGCAAATTTTTATTGAATAAAACATAAATTATGTTTTGAATAAAACATAATTTGTGGAAAATAACTTAAATTAAAATACTAAAAATAAGATAATGTCAAACACATTCATATTAATTGCATAATTTATAAAAACAACGTGATTCTAAACATCTACAATTGCACGTAACTTTTTATTTAATTTTATATAATAAAACCTATATAAAACGTAAATAAATATTCTAATTATATATATTAAATCCAACGCAAAAATCAATATCTTTATTTCTTGTTTTCAATACATTTTCTTCAGTATTTATAATATTAACTTCCAATATCTATTTACGTTTTACATAGAATTAATTATATAAAACCACGATTAAGGAACGTTCAGTCTCAGATATTTAGAATTATCACAAAAGGAAGATCATAAGAGTTTCAATCCTCTCGTTATATATTCCCTGATATATCATATCTAATAATAGTTACGAATAACAGTTATTAAAGTTTTCGTGTTTTATAATTTATTAATATTGTTCAAGGTACTTGAGAGACATGTAGAATGAAGTCTCATTGTCAGCCTTGACGACACAATCGTAAAATGCAGCTGTTCCATGTAAGTTTATTCGCTATAATTCCTGATGTCTCGTAGTGAACAGCATGTGATTTATGTAAAAGACTATATATTGCTAATAATATGTATGTGCAACAGAAACATAGTCTTACAACGATACTCTGTACAAAAACATTGTCTATAACTTGTTATTTCAATCATGTGAACAAATAATGGCAATTAAAATTATAAACAAAATTTTAGTTAAATGTTACGTTATTCTTTCTGTGATGCTTTCTGTAAAACATTTTATTATGTTATTATATGCATGTGCCTATATATATATATATATATATACGTAATAAAATGCAAGATATGTGTGTATGTGTGCGTTATTGTTAGTTTATTAATAACTAATAATAAAAAATATAAAATAAACATATAAAAATGAATAAAGAATATATACGTATCGTGTATATAAAAATTCATAATACATGTAACGCTATAATAAATAATCGTTATATTTATACGCATACCGATAAAGAGAATCAATTATTTTCACATGTGTTTCAAAGAGAAATTGATTTATGCAAGCGAAATCAAGCTGCTCAAATATAACGTATGGTAAAAGAAATTATGTGCATGTTCAAATCGACTACTATTAAAAATTCCGAAAACTCTCACAAGAATCTCTTATAATTTATCATCATGGTGTGACGATCGATTCGAGATCGCTGCGTACATGTACGAAACAGTGCAACCTTGTTGGAGCCCTCGAATTTTTTTTGCATGCAACCGCGATAATTTCATCATGACGAGAAGGAGAGTTCAACATTTACGGACTAGCAGTGTGCAAAATCTGATAGACCATCGTGTCAATAAATAAATAATAAAATTATATCTAGATTTTTATATCGTTCGATAAAATATCACGTTTGATAGAAAGACACTTCTTTCAAGGGGTTCCTTTAATAGGCAATACTAAAAAGCATAAATTTTTAATATGAGCACATACTCTTTAAAAAAAGTAGTCCATTCGACGAACGCACAGTACATATGCGTTATGTAAAGTAGGTTTCATACCGTAGAGTCAATGCTTTAGTTTTGCGTAACCCGGACATTCAATCGGTTGCATTATCAAAATAGAAAAATCTGCTTTTATAATACATTAAAATCTGCACGATCTCAACATGAATATTTAAGTAATTTGATATCTAATAAAGAAAAAATTTAATTTTCGTGTGATTTATGGAACAATAACATTATAACTAATCGGGGACAAAACGTTCGCATAATCGAACAATTATGTCTTGAAATACAGAAAATGTATTTATTACGTTCTGTGAGAGAAAATGTTGATAAAACAAAAACTGTAGTAATAATTTTACAGTTTTTGTTATACTTTATGAACTTTTAATTTACATATCTTTTTGATATAATTATTTTAGTACAGTTGCTTTCTTTTTGCATTTTATATTATCTGATTGTACGATCTGTTTACCTAAAGCAACGAACACGCTTCAAAATAACTGGGAATATTAAGTATTTAGAGAAACGTTTTTCTTTCTTATCTATTTCGCGTCATTTCTAATCTAGCGTTTTGTTACATCCATAATTTAGATATATGTGACATACATCAAAATAAACAAATGTTCGATTAAACGGTGTTCTACTATAATGCAATGCATTAATTAACAATACAATAAAAAAATCTTTGCGCGAGAAAAATCTATAATTTTCTTTCAACGAATGTGAAGGAATCGATATCGAAAAAAATCGACCTTGCTTTACCGATTGACAAAAAACGCCATTCTAAATGTGATAGCAATGTACTCGCAACACGAAACCGCGATCGAGGCTATCGCCCGGAAGCACGGAGAGATTAATGTTACGATGAGAAAAACGCGCGCTCCTTCTCTCGACGTGAATTGCGACAATTCAATGGGCCGTGGAGACCGTGGTTGCATTTTCCAATGGAGCAAACGCTATAGTAAACTTTCTTCACCCGGAAGCGATTTCACGCTCCTTACGTGATATAAATGTACAAAATAATACTCAAGATAATACTTCTCCCCCCTTTTTTTTATTGAACAATCTAAAACTGTTCCTGCGATAGATTGAAAAAAGTTGAAGATATGTGTAATATAGTTCGCATCGAAATAAATTGAATTTATGAATTAACTTAGAAATCATATATAATCGAAAATATATCGTCGAATAATTAAATAATAATCTAGCCCGAAATATACAAAATAAATATACATTTCTCTTCTTTAACCCAGTTGTTTCATTTGTTACGTTAATCTTTTTCTAGATAAACAATTGATCCATAAAAATATTACATTTATTCAATTTTATTGAAAAAAGAGTTGACCCATTTTTACACACATCGTTTTTTTTTTTTTTTTTAATTTAAAAACGCGCGTGATCGATTAACCGTCAGAATTGCTGTGCGAATAAAAATATTCTTTCAAAGGTGTATTGACAGGCTTTTGGTTTTACTGCTTGTATTCTATATTCTGTTCATACAAATCGACCATAAAAATTTAAAATTGTTCATATATTATGATCCTCTTTATATTGAAAGATATTGCAACATTTTCTTGTAAAATAATATTGGCTTCCCATCCAATAAGTAAATAATAACGCAAATTATTACACATGTATTGTTTTTTAATTTAATTTGTGGAAATTTTTGAATGTCTCTCTCTCTCTCTCTCTCTCTCTCTCTCTCTCTCTCTCTCTCTTCGAGCTATATTTACGCTAATTCCATTAACTCTAAACCTACTCAAAAATACACGCTAATACCAATTCATATCTCGTTGCACTTTCTTCACAATTGTGAATGAAAAAGCGCAGCGCGTTTGAGCGTGATAATAAAGAAAATAAAAAGTAGAGAAAGAGAGAGAGAGAAAATATGTAAAAAGTGCACAACGCGTGCGCGACGAAATTTCGCGCGCTTTATCGCGCGCGACGATTTAAACTGCCGCACATACAATGGCAAATCTTTTTATTTTTCATGATGCACCATCAGTTTTCCACCGATATTTGCCGATGCGAGCAATATCATAGCCATTCGCTTAATGACCTCGATCTTTACAATCAATTGAAAAATATTTATTTCTATAAACTTAAATTACGTGTGTGATACGGCTTAAATCAAGAGATAGTATTGGTATATAGTACTGGATTTCTCTTTCTAAGAGAGAGATGCTATTACAACTTCCTAATATTATATATAATAGCTTAAAATTCTCGATAGCCGATTGCGAGAATTAAAGATAATAAAAGAATCAACATGAAGAGAATTTCAACAATTGTAAGATCGATTCCCGGTGTTTCGAGCATTAGAGAGAAATTTCAATGTCACAAAATAAACACACACATACACACTTATCAATTTCCTTTATTTCGCTCTCATTCTTTCTAGATAAATCTTAGATAGTATTTTCAGAGTAAAACATCTCGTGGCTTACCATCGACTCCTCACGAAAATATCATGTTCGCCGTCGACGCGAATCTTCCGTGAAGCGCGAAATTCGCTACCGGTGCTTCTTGCCTTTACCTCCGGGGGAGCAGGACAGAGAGAGCGAGACGGATAGATTCCTCTCGAGAGCGAGCGTCCCAAACGAGCGAGAAATCGCCGAGCGTATCATCCGATCACATCTTGACGAAACGAATTTCGCTCGATAATAACAAGCGATATAACTTTGACCGGCGAGAACGTTCGCACTCGCGTGACAAACCGACGCGCGCGTCACTCCTCTCTACGCAACTGACCGACGTCGCGTGTCGCGTACGAATGGTCGTGCGTCATGCGGCGCGTAGCGACTCACTTCACTCTTCACTCCCGTCGCGTACACAATCCCCGGCAACCAATCAGGTGCGCCGGCCAACGCGTCGGCCGACCAATCGCGCGCCCGCCGCTCATGCGCCGGCGCGATTCACTAGACAACGGCGTGTAAACGAAGATCTTTCGTGCCGTATCAATACCGACGTATGGCTATCGATATATTCGATGGTGATAAATAGGAGACTCTTCCGCGCGATTTCTACTTCACAATTTCATGCATATGTACACTTTTATAAACTTTGCTTTTTTTTATTTATTTATAAATCACGTAGTCTCAAAACACCGCTCGAGGAACTTTTCAAAGTTTTTGATATTTTTTTTCTTGAGCGAACAATACTGAAATATCGATTGTTGATACGCAATAAAGATAGAATTACACATATGTTTTTAAAATATTTCTAAAAGATATTCTGAAATATATCGTGGATAATAATAAGTTCATCAACTATTAGATGACGAATAACACGATTAATTATGAAAAGACAGATTCGATAGATTAAAAAAGGATTTTCAATAAAAATATTATAAGATTCAAAAAAGAGATTTAATGCAGCGTAAAATTTAATATGCGAACTTTAAAATAGAGCAGCATAAAAGTAGATCGATCGACTTCACGATCGGCAAATATTATATTATTTAAAAAAAACAACAATTCATCTTTAACCTTTTATCGCAATGGCTATTAGTCTTTGAAAGCACAACATTTTATCTCGAGAAAATCTCTATTATTTCCAAAATTTTTGTAATTACTGTCTAATTATTAAATAGTAATAGAGAAAAAAAATGTAACAAGATTTTTTGTCTTGTAATTAGAAGCACAATGTAAACACACAGATTTACAATAATAATTAATGATATTTTCTATTCTTCATAATACTTAATAAGTTTTATGGTTTACAAACTTAATAATAATAATAAGGCTAAATGAAATATATTTTCGTATTTATTCTAAAGAAAATTTAACATGTTCTTGACTCTTGAAAAAAATCTAATTTCTTATAGAAAAGACGTTGATGATCTATTATTATAAATATATATATTATGTTCTACTTAATTTAATTTATTAATTTATTAAATTAATTTTTTTAGTCACCAAATGATATTCAAGTGTAGATGTGGAGATGCAAAAAGAAAATTTATTAATATTTTACATAAATCCGTCGTAAAGCTTAGCAGTATCAATTGCAGAATGTTATTAAATCGATCGGTAGTTTAAGAAATAATACAAAATTTCATAAACTTTTTGTCTTCAGGTTTTATTAATATTACAATAAACTGTATTGATCACTCTTTAAATTTAAAAGATACAGATGCTCACACTATAAATTTCAAGTCAAAAATAAAAACAATGATACAAATATTAATAACGTATTTGGAATAGTTTGGAACATACAAACGATTTAAATATTTTTCAATCCATGAAAACTTTATTCAAGCACTTGAACATTGTTGGGCTGTCGACGGGGCCCTTGGGTGTAATCAACGTCACTGAGGCAAAAGCTTCCCGAAGCTTCTAAATTCGCGTAAACAATTTTTTTGCGCGATAGCACGATATTGCCTTATTAGGCAATATCGGGGATGTCAAGGGTCCCTCCGCGAGGAAACCGAAATTCCTTCGCGCGGCCTGCGATGAATCGAGTCTCGAACGTTGAGAGAGTAAGTCGGTGCAAAATTTTGTGAGAATTTAGAAGCGAGAATAAAGTAGTGATCGTTTATTATTGATCAGTATAATTAGCGGACACGAACCAGACAATTCTTAATATTACAACATTTTTATGTACAATTTGTGCGTGAGTGTACGCGCGTGTGTATGTGAATATATTAGACTAATTGTAAGCTGTGCATCTGAGGGCCCTCTCGCACGACAAACGACCCCTACGAGGTATTTTTACTTTCAGAACCTCCCGACGCGTTTGCGATCGGAGAGGCGAAAACAACATATTAGTGGAATTACTACTGATGAATGTAGAAAAAATAATGAAGCATAAATAAAGAGTATTTTTAAAAAGCTCTACCGTCGATAGCCAAGAAAACAATTTTTTGTACAAACTGGTTATCTCAGAACCTATGAAACGTACTATAATCATTTTGATCTCATTTGAAAAATAATTTAATTCTCTACAACTTTTGTTTCGGTACTTTTTGTTAAAAAACGCATACTTTCCCTGATATTTGTAAAAATGTATAAAATAACTGTGATTTCAGAGATTTTTAAGCGCTAACTTTTTAAGGAAGCATTTTTCGACTCATATTTATAGGAAACTTTTTGTTCAGAATTAAATTTCCTATAAAATCTCCAAGTCTGGTCGAAATGTTTGGGTTCATCCTGTATATACAAATACAACATGTTTTCACGGATAAACTTTGAATTTAATATAAAATTAAATAACAAAAAGAATCATGTTCCGTTCAAGAAAAAACAGTTATAACGGTGCGTTCAGTCGAGAGAGGCCTCTTATGTAAGTAAGACACATTATATTATTTATAAATTATTAATATAATCAATTTAAAATCTTTTATATATTGTTACAGATATTGTTTATACATATCGTTAAAAAAATATTAGAAAATGGCAAACCCAAATAACATTTTAAATGTATAAGCAGATGTAGTCGAAGAATATTTTAATGGGATCTAAAAAATGGAGAAAAAATATAGAAATGAATTTAAAAAACAAAGGAACTTGAAAAGAACTATAAAAATAAAATAACTGAAATAAGCAGAAAACTTAAAAAGTCGAATAAAATAAATGAGAAAGTTCAAATAAATTGCGAAAACCAAGATTGATATATTATCTAAAATAAATCAAAAATTAGGTAAGGATTTCAAATAAGTATTCTACATTTTTTTAAATTAATTTAATTTTCAAAATAAAACGGATTTATTATTATAACAATAATTTTTTTGTTTTTTTTTTTTTAAGAAAAGAGAGAGAACAACGGGAATAATGTTAAAAGATTTAATGCGATGCACTACACAAACTTTGCAAAAACAATCATGAAGGGCAGTTCCCTAATTCTGATAATAAAGAAGTCCGTACAGTAGAAACTATGACAACAATGACAGAATGGTAAGAAAAAAGAGAAAATAACTCTTTAAAACTTTATTATAATTCTTTTATATTTTATGAAAAATTCTTTCATATTTTTATGATAGAAAAAGTTTTACTATTTGTTTAGGATCTCTAATTTTAAATATCCGCAAGATATCTTTAATATTACATTTTTTTATGGAATGTTAATGGGGAGAATCTTTTCATGACAATATTATAATGATGTGTTAGAGTTTAAAGCTGATCTTACACCGCAAAACGTAGCCATCGTCATAAGAAAGAGCTTTCCTACGATGAGGTACAGCGGTCTCTTGGCCTGAATCATCATAATCAGTAGATTCCTCGCCTGTTTCAGCTCCACGTTGTACCACTTATATTGGTAAACAGCCTCGTAAATCCCGTTGCACTTGATGAACAGTGAAAACGATCAAAGAATACGTTCAAGGGTAAAAGCTTATTAAATATTCAAATACATATCACACAAAATTAAATAATTCTATACTCTGTGATAAATACATTACAACAGAAATTAATAAGGAAAATACTTACTTGGATAACTAAAAATTCCCTTATCACGCAATAAAGGCACATATGCGTGAACGTTATTGATAAATGACGTCAGAACTCCATGGGACAGTAGAAAATACATATCAACGGAATGTCTGCAATTGGACGAATTTCGTTCCGCAAATTCCGTATTGCGCATATATTCCACACCATGGGACATCGGACCGCATCATTATATTCATGTAAGACGTAAGAAAATAAATTAATAAATTAATAATAAATAATTATTATTATTATTAATAATAATAATAATAATAATAATAATAATGCCTCGCGATTATACGCGACTGTACACGAAGTATATACGGTGTCAAGTAAAGTAAGGAAGGGAGAGCTCTCCCGTGTGTATGTACAGTCGCGTATAATCGCGAGACTCCGATGATTGATGTCACGATCAGCTGTGTCGCTCTATACGCGCTGAGCTCGACAAGTCACGCTAGTTCGAAGTGCGAGGGATGCGCGAGGTCTGTTGAAGGACGTCGCACGCGCCCGATTAACGACGTATATACTATACAACAATAACAGCATCAGGCGTACGATTCGCAGACGCTTGGCGCTGTAACAAGGATGGTAGAGCCTCTCTTCGATTATCAGTTTCGGCTGATATTGATCGGCGACAGTACGGTTGGCAAGAGTTCTCTCCTTAAATACTTCACCGACGGCAAATTCGCAGAGGTAAGAACGATCGTCTTTTGACACGCGGACTCTCTCCTCGCGAATAACGACCGAACGCAAGACACGCAAAACGGGCTGCCATTAGGAATGTTTGCTACGCGCTATCTTTTTTCCCTCTTGTTGTCCTCGTGATTTAACGCAGCGCTCTAACATTCGATCTCACAAAGTCCACTTAATTTACAATCCAAGTCATCGCTCGTATTGCTCCAATTATAAATCAATTTTAATTACTGCAATGATGTGTTTGATGATTTAAATAGGTTAGGCTAGTTTCTCCTCGTGTGCCATTGTGTTGCAGCTTCGACGTATTAGTATTTATATTTATATTTAAGTACTATTTAATCTCGAGCTGTATTTGTTTCCTTTTTTTTGAATAACTGTATTTTTGCATATCATTCTTTAACTCGTCATTAAGGAATTGCATCATCATAGTTTGCATAATAATGTGATTAAAGAATTTCACGATTAGTATTAAGAATATAAGAATAAGAGTTGTCATAGTTTTTAATTGATTGTCATAATAAATATGATGGCTCCTTCTCTATGAGACTAAAAATAAAATTTAGCTTTATGGAAAAATCAGATAATATTATTTATATATAATGGAGTACTTTATAAAATGCTACGATATAGCAATTAGGAACAAGAAACAAACGAGAAATTTTTTTTAATATTTTGTTCAACTTTAGCTTTCAGATCCAACGGTTGGCGTAGATTTTTTTGCACGATTAATAGAAGTTAAGGATGGGACAAGGATAAAATTACAATTGTGGGATACAGCTGGTCAAGAAAGATTTAGGTACATAAAATCTTTATGCATATTGAAAAATGTAGTAAATAATAAATTTTTTGTTGTACATTCTTGTACGCATACACACTACAGATTTTCATACACTTGCTTGTTTAATTCTTATTGACTAACGAGAGATAAATATCAAGTATTTTTATTTTCTTAGGTCAATTACAAAATCTTACTACAGAAACTCTGTGGGAGCCCTTCTCATATATGATGTATGTAATAGAGCAAGCTTTGAACATATTCCACAATGGATGATGGAGGCGCGCAGACATATCGAGCCACATCGTCCTGTATTCGCTTTGGTAGGCTGTAAGTTGGATCTAGTAACTAATGGTGGTAGACGGGAAGTCTCAAAGGAAGAAGCTAGAGCGTTTGCCGACGAGCATGGTGTACATCATATTGAGACCAGTGCAAAGACAGGTATAAATGTCGAAGAAGCGTTTCGAGCGGTTACGCAGGAAGTTTATAATAGGATACAAACTGGCGAATACAAAGTAGAGGATGGTTGGGATGGCATCAAAACTGGATTTGCTAGACCTGGTGGTTTAGATTTTAATCTAGTCGAGGCAGAACCGGCAAAGACTTCATGTTGTTAAGTTGCTATTTTGATTTATTGAGGTAAGAAAAAGAAAAAAAGATTTCAAAGAATGCAGATGAGATAGTTATTTCAGGGAAAAATATGTAATTTAATGAATATATGAGCATCTTGTTATTTACTTGTATATGTGTTACATAATTCAGACTGAAAGTTATTTATTGCATTAATATATAACAGATTGTTTCTATATATTTGCATTATTTTATCAAGTAGCAACATATAGGCACAATTATTTTTGTTCATGTGAGAAGTAACTTTCTACTGCATTCTTTTTTTAGCGAAAAGACTAACAATTATTGAAAACTACATACATGTATATATAATTTGCATAAACCATTAGATGACTGATAAAATTCATACAATTTCCTAGAGTAATTAAATATTTATAGGGAAAATAAACGAAGATTTTATTCCTTAAAATATAAACATTCTAAAAAGCAATGATTCTTTATGGATAATGGACTGACAATGAGAGAAACACCATTTATGCATACATTTTATCTTTGAATGGCATGCATATCTTATGCATATCTATACCGTATTTGAAGCTGTTGTGCCAAGTTTATATTATAAAATTAAACATGTGGAAATAATAACACTTTGAAGTAGCTTTCCTTCTCTTTAATTCGTATTTGTTCGGATAAATATGCATGCGTTATCATAAGATTCCAAAACCAAAATCACCCACAGATTGCGTTAACTAGCCAGAGTTTCACAGCAAAGTTTGAAAGCATATAATAAATTTTAACGTTATCTACTTAGACACATTTATGGCTTATTTAGCAATATATGAAAAGCATCATAAAATTACAATTTCAACAATTTGCCAAAACATTGTATCCTGTAGATAATATTAGCTTCGCTCAACACTTTCGACAATGAACCAATCACAGAATTCTTGACAGAATATGCACAGCTCTGTAAACATGAACTTTATTAGTCATCTAATATGTTAACAATATAACATCACAACCTATTGAGCATTGAGTTAGGATTGTTTTTAACTGCTTTAAAGATATACACTACATTATATATGAATATTGTAAAACTGTAAAGAACATTTTCATAACATTGGATTGTTTAATGTATTTTGTTTATCACGGATCAATAATGTTATTTAATAAAAAGCAAGGATTGTGCAGTTTTATTAATTGATTTTTTTTGTGAGATAATAAAAGTTTACTTCTAAATGACAGTATACGAGATTTATTATTTATACTACAGCGCATTATCTTGCGTAAAGAAAACAAGATTTAAAATTGTGGTGTACTAGGTAAGATGTAAAATTATAGATGTACAAAATAAGCAGAAACATATTTCTCTCACTACTTCATCACAATTTGATTCTTGATAAATCGTTATTGATAATGCCAGAGTTTGTGAAAATATTGAATTGTAACATATATACCTAGCATATGCATTGTTGATGTTAGTATGGTATTGTTAAGTCGCTTGCTTTATGCATCATATAAGCAACTTAAATACAGCACCAAATATTTATATAGAATAACAGTATCTTCGTATATATTAATGAATTATAATATAATCTAAAGATTTTCATTGTTCCTTGTTTTATTTATATTACAAGTCGCTAGTGTTATCATTTATTTCGTCTTGGAAGAGAAATTTCTCGTTTTTTGTTTTTTTATTGAATATATATTTAAATCTATATCTAAGGTGACTAGAAATGTTTCTATATATTTTTTCTTGTTAACATACACATACTTTTTTTGGCAAGATTTCTGTGATATAAATGTACGAAATAGTGAACAATTTCTGGAAATATTCTATATCTAACTGCATATAATACGTGTTTGACGTTTACATTATTAAAATTTGTACAATTTTAATTTAAGCAGCGCTCAATTATATATACTATATTTACAAAACAACTCATTGCATTATGTGCTACATGTACATAAACGTAATAGCTTTATAATTTAAAATTGCTCAGATGGCACCAAATTTCTTATATTACTGCAGCTTTAAAACATTTACACCATCAACATGTAACACTGCACCGAATAGTATCAGAATGATAGTCCTGATAGAATTAGAATAACAAATGTATGAAACCATTGCAGCTGGCATATCAACTAGCTTTATATAAAGCTTCATGATATTCTAAAATACTATGAATAGGTAATGAATCTTTTTTATGTAATATGCTTGATAATTTAAATGCTATAAGTTTCAAAGTTAATACAGGGGACGAAGGGGGGGGAGGGGCAGTTTTAGAGCATATATACAAGATGTTCCTTACAATCTACACAATAAAACATTTTTTTATATAAAACATAAGCACAACAGTCACTCTATGTATATATGTGTATATGTGTGTGTAAAAAAATTCATCTCAATATATACTATTACAATATACTTTTCTTTTAAAATCAAAGTGAGCTTAAAGAATCGACTTTTAATGCATCTAGAATAGGGCAATATTATTCAAAACGCAAAACCCAAAGAATATAAACTTCCATATGCCCTGTTTTGTTTGGTGTACAGATTTCACTCTGTGTAGATCAAAATGGAACATTTGCTATATACTTTTTACACATACTATATTAATAAATAAATTTTAAATAGCAAAATTTGAGAGAAACATATTCAGGTGCCTTTAGATAGTGAACATGATAGTTATATTTTGGAATGTTTGAGGCCCCTTCTCAGCTATCTAAATTACTTTTGCAATTTATAGACAATATAAGAGAAAATATACTTAATGATGGTAACATTTACTTTCCTGTCATTACATATTATTTTTATATAAATAGAAGATGCGCGCGACCACGCGCGTGCATCTTATAATTAATTATTTAATAAGTGAGGCATTCACATTATAAGGTATCAGCTATTATACCTTCATTACTGTGTTCCAGAGATTCACATCCGAACAACACATATTCTTCTCGTGACAACCAAAATGGATTACCTTCAATGTATTCCGGCGGGGTTTTATCTAAAACATAATTAATTTCGAAATAAATTACTTATAATACTGTTATTTATTTTTGTTTTCAAATATTTTTCAATTTTATTGTATATTTATATCTTTTAATGCATTTTAAACATGTTTCTGATTTTCATGTTTTTCTGCTGATTTAATATCATGCTTTTTCATTGTCATTATTATCACATATACATTGTTACTATACATATATAATAAATATTTTTATACTTAATTATATTATATATACAGAAATATATACAAAAATTATCTATGCTTACCAGGATGCACAGCTAAAGGCACATATGTAGATCCCATTGCGACATTCCAACTATGCGTTCCAGGACAGCTCCTCACTTCTAAAATGTTGCTATATTCTGGCAACACTTCACGTAGATCCTTGGTAAGCCTTAATTCGAAACCCGAAAGATCCGTATTTCCGCCAGTAAGTAGAATATGTGAAAGGCAATCGTGCATTATATCTTCCGATAATCCTGACGTTACATCTTTTATAACTTCGGGCAAACGGAGGCTGATGTACATCATTTCGGGAGCTATATACAACTCTGGCCCTAGAGAAACTCTCTAAAAATAATGGTATTTTTGTTTAATACATTTTTTTCGTAAATGCGCGAGTTGTTAGTAAAATTAAATTTTTTTTCAGCTATAATATACATAAAACTGATATATATATACCCAAAATTGTTTATAATCCGCGTAACTATCAACTCGAAGATTAATATGTTCTCTCGCCTTCTGTCCAAAGCGTTTTTCTTCGTTTTTTATGTTATAGCTCAGTCTACATCTTTCTTTAACAGCCAAAACATCCAAGTAGGATATAGGAATTTGATGATATTCTTTTGGTTGCCAGTGCATAGCTTGCTTTAAGTGATAAGCAACATGCCAACCACCCACGGGCAGCAATCTCCAACGTTGCGGTATAACCCGTCCTCCGATTACGACTGCTACCGTTGTACTAAGAGCACCGCTGTCGATTACGACGCAAGTTTCCACGTCCAACATAGCACATGCTGCTAGAGGTTTCGGTACCAGACATACCCTGCAATAATTTTAGTCGTAAGATTTTATATATGGATATTGAAATGTTTATAATACAAACGTAATGTAATACAAAAGTAACAGACTACTGATGTTAATACAATCGTACCTCGCTACTTTAACTTCTTGGAATAAATAATGTAACAATTGTTTTCTCAATGTGGGATGCATAGCCAATGGTTCACAAAACATGAGTACAGTGTTCGGCTTTCTCAGCGTTGCGGTCAAGCTCATTTGATGAAACAAGTGATCGATAAAGGTCTTGAGGACTGGAAACGTGCCCTCGCATAATAATGCCTCTGCCGGGCTTACAACATCCACATTTGGAATACCGAAAACGTCAACTGTGTCAGTGCAGTAGCCGTTTATGAGCTTCTGATAAATAGGGTTCGGTCTGGTGTAACACATGGGATCATTTTGATGCGTGATTAATCTGCGCTTTTCCCTGTACAGTTTCACAGGATTGCAGAAAACGCAGAACGGTCCGCTTGGCCGTGGAATCTTAGCGGTCGCCAATTCCGATAATTTTAATAATTTCAATCTTTTTGCTAGCGACTTTGTGTCAGACTTGGAGCGTGTGCTGCTGCTTGGAGCATTTTGAGTCTGCACTTGCTCCATATGAGTTTTATTGTTATACTTTGGAATGCCAAACATCGAGAAGTGCCTCCTTAATCCAAAGTTTGGCGTGATGACCCATGTATACTTATTGCCAATCTCGATCACCACTTTAGCACTGGAACCTTCTACGCAATTTCTCTGACAAGTGTAGCCACTGCAGTGGTAACATTTCGGAAAAGGTGCGTTCTCGCCCAATGTTATTACCATATGCAATCTGTAGCACATAGCTTTGAAGCTGACGCTGAGTAATTGCAGACATTTTATATCTGGGAATCTAAAATGTACTTTTGAAATCAACTGCAGCCATTTCATCTTCCTAAAATAATACAAAACCGTCTTAAAAATAGAAGAGATTATATTTCGCTCCCGGTATAATAATCACAATAATATGACATATTTAGATCTTTCAAATGTGCACTTAAAAAATTTCAATCTCATTGTGAAAAATGATAGTAAACGATTATCAGTGTATCCGATTTTCGCGAACGAAAGCGCGATGCTTTCGAGCACATAAATCGTTTATAAATCTCGTCGGAATCATTCTGATTTTGGCATAAACCTAACCCTAGCATTCACTCACCACAGATAATCCGTGTCCGACGTTTTCCTTAAATATTTGCAGGTGCTACCGAAAGCGATAATGTCAGGTACATCGCAGTATAATAAAATCTTAATCCAAATCTCTTCCGGGAAGACCGCGGGATCCATAATTGTGTGTTATTAATAAAAACGATAGAAAAATGTTACATGGATCAACAGTAGCACTTGGTACAGGCCTTCAGACACTCCCCAGGACCAACGAATACGCTAGTCAAGTTCAAGGTTACAATAACGGATAAAACTTGAATCAATATGTTATCCGCAGACGGTATCAATTAATCGTACGTTTGCGAAAATTTGACCTATAGATAATCTCGGTAAAATAAATCGGTACTCAAAATGTAATTGTTCAAATCGGTTCAAATGATTTAATAATCAATAATCATACTCTAAACAGGAATAATAAAAAGACAAAATTTAAATATAGTTTTTTTATATAAAACATTTTTTTTTTTTTATGAAAATAAGGGAAGTGTATAATTAACAATTGAAAATGTTTATAAAAATAATACTGCTTGTGTGTTATTTTTTTCTGTCTCTCTCCCTCTCCCCCCTCTCCCTTCTTTTAAACGTCCCCAATACAGGGATTTCTACAATATTTAATTATTTGCTTAAGAAGAAGCGTCGAGTAACGCTTTAATGTAAGGATTCTTATGAGACAGTACCTCTTCCTTCAATGATAATACCTCATTTTCTATATCAGCATCAGATAAAGACAGATCTAAAGTTTTACACTTTTTGAGAAATTGCGAAATGAGTGTTTCAGCTTCCTGTAACAATATTAGAAAGTTTTAAAACTGTTATCTTGCAAATGTATAAACTCTGTTTTTTATTAATATAATAAATTCTTAAACTGGATGTAACACATTATTCGATGTATAAATAACATCATATTTATTATTTCACTCAATCATCAGTAATATTGATTAACAATAATAAAAAAATAGTACCTGAATGATCTTTCGTTTCTTGTGGGGATTATTGGATCCTTCAAAAACCACGCTTTGATAATCTTCAAGTTCAGCTTGCTTCCTTTTGGCAAACTAAAAAAAAAAAAGGAAAGATTATCAAGCGACGCGATAGCATCGCGACGCCAACTATACTAGGTAATTTTTATACACGAAGTAAAAGTTATAATATTCATCAATTATATCTCAATTATTTTATATGAATCAAATACATACCTCTATCACGTCTGGCGGAAAATTAGCCATTTTAGCGACATGAAGACCAAAACTTTGGTCACAAATCCCTGGTTTTACTTTATAAAGTAATGTCAATTTGTTATCTTCAACAAGAGCAGTAACATGGTGATTCTGTATAGTAGGTACTTCTTCGGCTAACCTGGTGATCTCATGGAAGTGTGTAGCAAACAGACAATACGATTTAATATCCCTTGCCAAATGTCTAAAAAAATACATACAATAAAATGATTTTAATATTAATCTTACATAATGACAGCTTCTGGCATGTACTTACTCTGCTATTGAACATGCTATACCGCAACCCTCATAAGTGGATGTCCCTCTACCCAATTCATCAATGATTACAAGAGAGTTACATGTTGCTGTCTGAAAATAAAATATATTGGACACAACAGATTATTTTTATTATAATTTTTTTAACAACTCTTATAATGACATAAATTACTTTCAAAATAGCTGCAGTTTCTATCATTTCCATCATGAAAGTCGACAATCCTTTCAATTGAGAATCATCAGCTCCTATTCGAGCTAATATACAATCCAATAACGATATAGTCGCTCTATCGCAAGGAACAAAACTACCAATATGTGCCATTAATGCAGCTACACCGATAGATCTAATATAAGTACTTTTACCTCCCATGTTTGGGCCAGTAATGATGCAAAAATGGTACTGATCTAAAGAATGAACCACATAAGAATTCTTTTTTGGTAAAGAAATTTTTTTTCTCAGAAAATATGTAAAAATAAAAATCAAACTTCACAGAGGAGAAATTCCACCTGTATTATTTTTATAGGACTGAAACACATTGAATTCATACCTCGTTTAAAATTAATATCATTGGCAATATAGTCTACTCCTTGCTGCATCTCCAAACATGGGTGTCTGACTTGAATAAGATTCATTTCACCTTCTTCACTCGGAACCATCTCGGGACGCACATATACCTTGTTAGCGCTTACTGCCGCGGAAGCAAACGCTGTGAGAACGTCGAGGCGTGCCAGCACACCACCAATAGTACGCATTGTTTCGCTATAACCAGCTGTATAGATATAAAAATTAATAGTAGTTACATTAATATTATATTTCAGTGCATGTACAAATAATTTCTATCCAAATGAAAAGAGGCACAAACCTGCGATTCCTATAATCTCCGTAATAACATCTTTCTGTCTCTCCAGATATTTATTTCTGGCGATTATAAAATCGTCGTTTAATTCGCTCAATTTACTGTTTCGGAATCTTACACCGGTTTTATTAGAATCCAAAATTGTATAACGCTTATTATTTCTAAGTATTTTCTCTTCTTTTAACGTGATACGAAAATAATAGCCCAATTGTTGATTAGATTCTAACTTTAACGTTTTCCCTGCTTCCATGCCAAGATCATCTGCCGCTTTACCAAGTTGTCGTTGTATTCTTTCCTCTGTTTCATCCATGGCATCTTTTAATTCTATAATATTTTTTTATTACAAAATTTGTATATATATATATATATATATATATATATATGTACAATCATATAATTACATCTATTACATTTATTTCGCAATATTTGCATTAGAAACTAGATAGAAAGAAAATATATGTGAAGATGTGTCCTGCATTTCTTCTTTCTATACATCTTTTTTTTATAACAAAGTTATAGATTCTTTCTTTTATTTGTGATTTAAAAGTCACAAACGCATCAAGTTTAAAGTAAACTGAATTCTTTATAGTCTGATGTTTTTGATATCTATAGTTCAGTTTAAAACATTTTATTTGAAGGCATTCTATATGTAGCTTTCAAGATAAGATTAAAATTCAAGATTATCACCTTTGAAATCATCCGCAAATCCTGGATTAACCATAAAATCTCCCTTTTCAGCAGCGTCTAAATCAATTGTTTGCTCCACCAACTGTTGAAATTTATCCATATCGTCTATCAGTTCTTTTAATGGATCTATTATCATTGTCTTTAGTGCTGTTACACTTGCTTCTGGTGAGAGTTGTTCTAATAGTTTTGGCAAATATGATACACACAAGTAGATTCTAAAATACATATATTATAAACATCGGTATTAGTTTTTATTACAGAGTGTCAGAAACCATTGAATGTCCTTTTAATAACACATTCTCCGGTCAATCCAAATCAATTTGGAGATGATCTTTTCTTATAAAAAATGTCGAGGCATTTGCTCGATATTATCGTGAAGAAAAAATCAACTTTAAATTGATTGGATAGAGAAACGTTAAAAAAAAAATTATTAAAAAAACATCTAGTGGTTTTGGAATATGTGCATAGTATACATTAAGATTTTGCTGTAATCACGACAATAAACGTTACTTTCGCATAAATAATGATAACTTACTTGTAACAATCTTGTAATGCTGATTTTTTTCTAGCCAATTTTTTTGCGAGCTGTTGCAAATCTGGTATACGTTTTAAATAATCATCATTAAGAACGGATCTTAATTCGTTATTTTGTACTAATAATTCAACGATGTCATGCCGTTCCTTTATTAGAGACAAGTCTCTAAGGGGCTGTCGAACCCATTGTGCAATCAGTCGATGCCCTTGTGCGGTCCTGCATTTGTCTAATAACGTTAAGACGCTGGCGGCAGGATTTCCGTGCAAGTTAGAAGCCCCATCACTCTGCGGTTCTATATTAAGAGCCTTTATTGCCGCGGAATCTAATCTTATATATCGCGATTGCTCCACTTGCTTTAGACTAAACTGATTCATATGGCCTTCGTCCGATGTTAACTAACAAATAATTATTGTATAAGAATACGTCAGTTATATGAGACATATAGAATGTCATCTTTATTACAAATTTTGATGATTAAATCATTATTTTTCTTTAATATAAATTTAATACAAAATTGTTATTGTTCTTTTGGAATTTTCTATATCAAATAACTTGAAAATAGGATGTACTTGTTGCATACGCTTTCTCTCTCTCTTTCTCCCTTACGCTTTCTATTAAATCCTGTTTTTCTTAGAAAAAGAATATCATCGAATTTATTAATAAATGTATCATCAAAATTTGAGGTAGTAAAAATGCGATATTCTACATATACATAAATATCTCTTCTAAATAAAATTATAATAACATTTACATCTAAATATTTGATGAGAGCAGAAGTAGCAGACATAGCTAGATTTAAATTAACTTCAGGCAGTGATTGTGCATTCTGCTTCTGTCCTTTTTTGAATTTTATTAATGTATTTAGGTCATCTATGATTGAATCACTGGAAAATTCATTTCTTTTTCTTAAAGTGACCATTGTATTGTTTCTTTCTATTAACTGAAAAAATATAGCACAATATAAATTATAATATAAAAATATTACACACACAATGTTATACATTAAAATTTTTACTAAAGTGTGTAACATCAATCCCTCTTCACATTCTTTATATAACATTTTACAAATTTGATATTATAACATGACATTTTTGCGTACTTGTTTAAGAGTTTGAAATTCATGACTGCCTTCCCCTTGAATTAGTAAGCATTCTTTTGGAGCCAGAGTTACAATGAGTGATTCTAAATTCGAGAATGATTCGTTATCTTGAAACTCGGCGACTAAGATTAAAGTCGAAACGACATCCACACAACTTAGTCCAACGACCTATAAAATAATAATAATTTAGATATATTATGAATTTATACATATAGGTAAAATCGTATTTTCATATTTTTTATTTTATATATACTATATATAACTTTTAAATATATATATTCTTGTAAATATGTGTAATATTATATATTATACATTATATATAAAAAATTATATCTACATGTTAAAAAACATATTAAAAAAATTAATATTAATTAATATTGATTAATATAAAATTTTTTATATATAATTTATGTTATATATAGTACCTTTTTAAGCAAAAATATATAATCATAAGCAGAATAAACTTACTCTGGATTTTCCTTCCGTACCTAGTTTCACAGCTATTACAGATACACCCACGGCTATGTCGTTATTACCGAACAGAATATCTTCAAAATGAGATAGATTACCGGGTGAACCTTTATATTCCAAGACCCAGTTCTGATTTTTAGACGAGCCTTGATTTACATAGACTTCAACTCTGTATTGCTTAACTAACAACAAATCACGCACAAATGTCTCAAAGTGACCTTTATTCAGAATGACTCCTTCCGTTTTATGCGGCTCTGCAAAAAAGAGATTATGATTTTATTATTAGTTGTAACGAGAAATTTTTTATACAATTTATATAATTATTATTTATATAATTAGTTATATAATTTTATATGTAGAAAATATATCTGCAGTTAGTGTTGCTAGAATTAGAATACATTCTTTCCAAAAAATATAATAAATAATTCGTGCGAGAATTCTTTTTTTTATATATATTTGATTTATAAATGATGCTTACCAGCTCCAATCATCTTACAAACAGATGTTGTTTTAAATACTTCTTGTGCAGCAAAGAGAGCATCACTTCCATGCAATGTATAATAGTCTGACCTATTGAAGAATCGTATTGTCGTGTCAAGTTTCTGAAAATAAAATTATCATATATATATATAACTCATTGATTATCAGTCAAGAATTTTCGTGAGCTTTTTTTTTCAATGTACAGAAAAAACTTGTATTACTGAAATGCTATATCTTTTCATTTAATTTTCTCCCAATTCTCCAAGAAATATTTCATATGATAAATTGAGAGCACATAGTATGTCATTCTGCATATTATATATTGAATCTGACGCTATATAAGCCGTCATTAAAATTTATCCTTGACTTATTTGCGTAACGTTGCAAGCTTCTAGAGATAAAGAACATAATTTTTAAGATAATGTCACAATTATAACTTCATAAAACTGTTAATATTATATTTATTTTTATATGTAAAGATAACTCTCTATTTTTCACATATAATTTCACATATTCAAAAACATATGTCTACATGATTTAAAAAATGTATCATATGATCATATCATAATATTAGTTTATATAGACAAACAAAACAGTTATAATAAAGAAAGACATTCTATCGCGTGAAAAGATATAATTATTTGATATAAAATATTTTTATTTGACTTCCGCACTCTCTCACGTTTTTATTTTAACCATGTCATATGCATGTTTTCATTTCCGAAAAATGTATTAGAAGCAGATGCTTTTACGAATATTAGGCATTGTGAAACCCTGTTTGTGTGAAAAGTATATTATATTTCATATTTCTCGGAGAAATTAAAAAACTTGTAACGTATCTATAGGTCATGCCTATCGAGAGGTCAAAGTGTTCATAGGTCGTCGCAACTTCGATACGCGTGCGATTTTATAGAAGTTTGGAATTTAAAGAAACGCGTTTTACATTGGTGCCGAAACGACACAAAATTTTATAGATAACTGCAAGATAAAAATTTTGATAAATTTTTCAAATATTCTCCATTCGCTATATTCTTTCATTTTGCGATTCAACAGGATTGTAAGCAAACGTACTTTTCATCTAATTTATTTAGAACTATTGAGAATATGTATGAATGTGTGTGTGCTCCAAAACTTGAAAACTTTTTTAACATACAACGTTCCATGAAAATTACATGAAATATTGTCAAAATATAAAACAAGAGTCAACTATACATAATTTATTCTCATATAGAAATGTCTTTTAACCGTTACATTATTGATATAAATATTTAAATAATTTCTTGATAATATAAAATTTATATAGAGAAAAAAGATACGCAAGCAATCAGTGTGTGTGTGTGTGTGTGAGATATTAATTTAATAAATAAATGTGATACGGATACATATCCGTAAAAATATAAAAGTCTTTATTTGACATAAATCTCTTAACAAGAGGGAAAGTAGAGATTGATGTAGCTGCTTCCCATCTCTTTATACATGTTAATCTTTTAATGGGGAATGCCCAACAGTTTCAATGACACCCATATATTGAGGTCATGATCGTGGAAATATTATTCACCCTTAGCATGATAAAAGGTCACAGTTTATATACTAGAAAGGTCAGTAATTTCTGTAATAAGTAGGCCATCTATTCTATTGTTTTCCCAAGTAAATTCAGTTATTTATTTTTTCGGAAAAATATCCTCTTTCTCTGTCATTACATTCTGGTAAAGTACGATCACAAAGAATACAAATATTACGACCTTTACATAATAACGACCTTGAAATTATTCATGGTGTTACTGAATGAAAGTGAGTCTGATCGTTGTAGATGTTACAAATTCAGAATGACTTAATCGATGACGCATCAAACCAAGTATGGAAAAACGCGGCTTGTAACCGTTACCTGGAAATCATTGAATTATGCTTGTCGCTGTTAATATGAACATAATCATTTATTTGTCAAGAAGATATGTTACGGTATAATTAATTCAACAGGATACATCTGAACGTGATCAATTAACAAGCAAGTTAAGCGATAATAATATTTTGCCATTTTCTATTTTATAATCATTTTTTACTTCCTCACAAAGGAAGCTTTGTTTTTTCCTTTTAAAATCTCTATTCTTATAATACAACGGATTTGTCTGTGCAATTAATTTTAACATGATTATATATACAGAGAAGTTTACAAGAATTTCATAGCGTCATTTATTTTTATACATGAAGAATGTTTTCTATAATTTTTTTTTTATAATAAAAAACGGGCATTTCCATGCATTGTAAAAGAAATTTATTTAGCTCTTGGAAGAGCAATACGACTCATAACTTTAATTTTTATAAAGAAAAACAGATACCAATAATATGCGTGCGATACAATGTTATATATGTATATATAATAAATATATCACAAAACTGATGAAATAGGAATACTTATACATACGTCCATGACGTCCAGAACGTCAATCTTACATTACTGAGAATTGTGTACGATAAGAACAAATCTCCGGACTTTCGCGATGGATAAAAATAAAAGATCGCTAATATATGTATAAGTGCTCGAGGAATCATCGATGGGAAGAAGGGGGAAAGAACATAAATGGATTTGCGGTAATCTGCTTCCAGCTATACGTGAGCCTACAGTGTTAGTGAGAACATCTCGACATTAACAATTGAATTTGTAAGCGCGTCTCTTCCATTATAAGGTAATAAAATATTGTATCGCTTCCGTAGCGATAGGTGTGAATGAAGTGTGTGCAAATGAAACTTGTCAGTGAATGCGAGACATTGAATTACAAGCTTGAATCTTGCGACAAAAGAAGAAATAAACCATGAAATGTGTACAGATACAGAGTTGTCTTTTTTCGCTACTGCTCTTGTATCATCATGAAAAGGAGAGGCTGCTTTTCTTATTTAACACAGACAATTGCATCATCTGAAATTTTAGAATAGTTAACAAAAAGTATATTTTCTTCTGTGTATGTGCATATTTGTTTTAAATATATCTTACGAAGAACTAAATTAAATAAATCAAAATTTGAATAATCGATATAAGTATAGACATAAAGCTGTTTTTTTTTCTTTATCTTTACAATATTAAAATGGAAGTTCTAATTGAGAAATCGATGAATACTATAATAAATTGTAAATTAATTTCTATATATCATGTTATATATTCCTTTTTTTTTTTGTTTATCGATTATAACTTTTTAATGAATCCGTAATACATAATTATCTTTAAATAGCTTTTGCAATATAATGAATCTGAAAAAATTAATATTTGCAATAATAATAATAAAAAGAAATAGGTGCAAAAAATATATTTATCTAAAAATTTATTTTTATTTCAGAGATCGGATGAGGATTATGGCGATAGGACAGATAGTCGTTTTATCCGCTTTGTTCGCCCAAACCTTATCCGCCCCAAGCGGCTGCATAGAGTCTTGCGACTTCTACCGAACGTCCTATCAGAGCCGCCACACGTCGGGCAGTGATCATGCAGGTTTAATTCAAGGTAGTACGAATTTGAACAATTATGATTACACCAGGCCAGGAAATTGGACCGAACGTAATCAGTACAATACGGATAGCGGGCATGGCAAGGTTCATGAAGAACGGGGACAGTATGTGGAAGGATCAAAGAGAGTACGGTTCTACAAGAAAAATTTTACGTCGTCTTATGGTACGGGTAATGTAGATGGGGCAACAGAGTTAAGTGGCCAACATAGGTACGATTCGTTGCACATTCCGAATAATCATCTCGAGTCCCAAGGTACACAGTTGGGGCAGGTTACGAAGGAGAGCGGATACAGTAGGGTGCACAGTCAACAGTCGTCTACGAGAGTCGACAATAAAAGCGAGAGACTCGAAGATTTTGGAGAATATGGCGGACATTCGCAACATGGAGTTAACGTTCCAACGATAGAGACCATACCGGAAAATTGGAGCAGAGTAGATTCTTACAGGACCGACGGTGGTCAAGGACGCGTCTTTGAGGAGGAAGGCCAATACGTATCCGGGCCCAAAAAGGTCCGCTATTACAAGAAGAACTACACCTCGAGCTACAGTACATCAGGTGACGCTGTCTCGCCGACGCTGGATAAATTACACAGCGAGCTACAGAAGAATCTGCACGGAGAGCTTGAAAAGTTCAGACAAGATTTTCATCATCAAACCGCCAGCACCACAGGTATGACTCAGGAAGCGGTCCATAGCTTCCACAGCAACGATCTCCAGACCGCCGAGAGTGAGAATACTTACGGACAACAGCAATTATCAGGTTACCGGCGCGTCCCATCTACTGAAACTGTCCGTCATTATACCGATCAACAACAGACGGAAATTGCTGATACAGGGAGACAACGAATGGTGTATCCCATCCCGAACACTTATGACACGGAGAGCCAAAGAACCTATCAGGGTCATGAGACTTATGTATCTCGAGCGCATCCCATTCCACAATCAAATCCCCTGCCTCTCAGTTATCCGGTGCCAGTTACCGGAGGTAATTACCAGACGGCGAGTTACTCGCATTTGGGCGGACGTCAAGTAGACGAAATCCAACGGTCGGAAATCTCGGGTGCACATCAGTCCGGCGTGGCGCAGAATCGGCTCTTTACCGAGCGCGTATACAACCCGAACCCGGATTACAATGTTCATCCCGGCAGACGGGATGAAACCAGACACTATCAAGAAGAGCACTGGCAAAGTTCCTCGAGTCACGGGGGAAATCCAGCTCCCGAACGTAGCGCGGATCTCTCGTCGTACGGGACTGGCAGTAGAACGCATTACGATCGGGATGCATACAATGAACAACGCGGTCGTTACCATAGCAGAGCACATGGATATGAATCTCATGGAAATAGTTACAGTTCCGGGTACGGAACCAACTCAGCGGGGCAGCAACTTGTCGCTGCCGGATCATCTTTAGATCTGGGGCAAGGGACGCACAGTGCCGATTGCACCGGGGAGACTCACCAACATTATCAACACGAGAGCAGTTACCACAGAAAGTACAAACGAGACGATCAACACGTGCAGCAAAATCAGGAATTTGAGCCAGACTCACAACAATTGGATCTGACACACGCGAGTAATCAGCAATCAGAAGACTTTACGCAACATGATGAAGATTTCACGCAGCAGACAGAAGGTCAACTCGAATTCGGCCAGCAAACTGTCGACGATCAGCATCTAAATGATTTCACAGAGCAAAGTGAACAATTTGCACAACAGACGCAAGGATCTAACCATCTTACACAAACGAGTGATAAACTCAATTCTGGACAGCAAATTGTTGACGATAAGCATTTAGATGATTTAACACAACAAAATGAACAATCCACGCAGGAGGCAGAGGGTCAACTCGAATTCGGACAGCAAACTTTGCATAATCAACATATGACACAGCACAACGAACAATTTACGCAACAAGAATCTAATGATCGCACGCAACAAGCAAATAAATTCGAATTTGGACAGCAAATTGTTGGTGATAAGCATTTAGATGATTTAACACAACAAAATGAACAATTAACACAGGAGACAGAGGGTCAACTCGAATTCGGACAGCAAACTGTTGATAATCAACATCTGACACAGCACAGCGAACAATTTTCGCAGCAAGAATCTAATGATCACACACAACAAACAAGTAAACTCGAATTTGGACAGCAAACTTTCAATGATCAGCATCTGACACAGCACAACGAACAATTAATGCAGCAAAACTATGATGATCTCTCGCAACAAACGAGTGGTAAACTTGAATTCGGTCAGCAAACTGTTGGCAATCAACATTTAGAAGATCCAAAGCAACAAGCTGAACAATTTGAGACAGCGAGATCCGACGATTACACGCAACAGACGGTAGGTAAATTGGAATTTGGACAGCAAACAGATGACACTCAGCAATTAACGCAACAAACCGAACATTTTGTGCAACGAGCTGCAAGATCCAAAGATTTAACGCAACGAACAAGCGGTAAACTCGAATTCGGACAGCAGACTATTAATAATCAACACATGGAAGACTCAACACAGCAAACTACCGGTAAACTAAAATTGCAATCGATAGATAAACTTGTTAATCCAAAAAATCAACATTTAGAGGAATTTGACAGTGAAGATTTCTCTCAACAGGCGAGAGGACACGATGATTTTACGCAACAGATAATGGGTCAACTAGAATTTGGACAGCAACAATCCAATAATCCAAAGGTTGGTCAACATTCGGAAGATTTTACTCAGCCGGATGAAGACTTAACCCAACAGATTGGAGGATTTGACGATTTCACCCAGCAAGGACGCTTGGAATATGGACAACAAAGAGAGCAATCGCAGAAACCTGGCTGGCCAGGATACAATACTCGACACCCGGAACATTTTTCTCAACAAGATGAGTGGAATACAGATGATCTTTCACAACAATCGCATCAATATCCGTCCTATGGTAATAATAATAATGAACAGTCAGAATGGCAATTGGATATGTCGCAGAAAACGGAGCAAGATTTGGCCATAAGGTGCATTTCGTGTGTGTTATAACTATGTAGATACATATATTTATCACTGTAATATTAACTTTTTATAATAAATAGCACAATAACATTAATGTCTCTTATTACACGTTGGTTCTTTACTAAATATGTGCACGCATTGGTACATATCGTCAGATATAGCAAGCGTTATCGTTTGTTAAGAATGTTGACAAAAGTTCGAAATTTCGCTTGCGCCTCCGGCATCTGTGCTAGCGTTTCCTCCATCATATTTCTCAATTTTGCCAAATCGGGCATTTTCTCGCAAGACTCGATATTTAATAGCTCTGTGAAAAATTGTTCCCAAGCAGCCTTTTTAGCGTATCTGTAAAAAAGGAAATAGCTAATTAGTTTCTTGAGAATAACGGGCGAGATTTTTCGAATTACACAATATAATTATACTTGTTCATACACTTGTTATTTATATACCTTGGTAATTTCGAGGCAATAAACCAACGGCCGCCTACATTAGATACTTTCATATAATTGCCAAATAGCAAACAATGACTGGTCGCCGCTAGACAATATAAATCAGTCTGATATGTCCACGGTCTTCCAGTTTGCATTTCGATACAAGTGAAGTCTTCCGTTTTTATGACTTGCGTGAATGTTGTATTTTCCGGCAATAATTTCATATCTATACTACATCCGAAATCTATCAACTGTATTGTTGGCCTTACATCTTGCGTGGGTCTGTCAATGATCATAAAAATATTAAGAACAACTTAAATATGCATGATACTTTAAGGATAAATCTTGCAATTATTAGCTATTTATGTATATATATATATATATATATTCTATTTGAGATAACCTCTCTATTCTTATAATGATATTTTTTGTACTATTAAATAATGAAACTCTCTTCTTTAATGAAAATGATGTTTTATATGATAGATTCTCGTGAGGATTCTCAACAATTTCATGTATCTTGTGTAAACTTAATATTAAAAATTACAATTATACATTATGTACATATTAAGTAATCAATGACTATCTTCAATAAAAAAAAGTAATCAAAAGTAATAAAAAGTAATACTAACAGTCGCATTAGTAAAAAATTATCTGGCTTTATGTCTCCATGTATTATTTGGCAATTATGTAAGTATTCCACAATTTGAAGCATTTCGATTGTGAAGAAAATAGCTACAGTCTCCATCAGAGGTTTTCCAGTGGCGATTTTTATCTGATTCGTCACTGCTAATAATGTTCCAAACTTGGAATATTCTGAAACTAGTACACTTCCATTGTTGGCCACATAGGCCATTGTTACATCCATAAAACCGCGTAACTGAAAGAATATATTAGCAGGTTTAATAAAAAAAAAAAATTTAAGATAGCATAGGTGCGTTAACAATAAGAGATGCGTATGTTACACGATACCATATGTGGATTTGTAAGTCGCGCCTTTATCTCTCTTGCGATATAATATTCCCAGACCCAAGCGGGTTTTTGTGTTTTAAGGGCAACAGTTTCACCTGTCTGTAAATTAACTGCTTTAAAAACTGTTCCATACATTCCTTTCCCAAGGCACTTTTCCAAATCATACGCTTCTGTGCCTGTACAATCGTGAAAAACGCAAGTATGAGAAAAAGAAAGTTGCTTGTAAATATATTTCAATGATACGACACACAAAAATCTTTTGATCATTATGTGAAAGTTATGTACGGACCGAGCGTAATCATGGTAGAAGGCACGAGCTTATTTAGATTGGTATCTATTTTTGTATATCCATCTGCATGTTGGGGTTGTGGAAACTTAATTTTCTTCAATAAGCCAGCAATCAAATTTTTGTCAAATGGATTTATATCTTTCGAAGGGAGTTCAAAAGACAGTTCTTCCTCCATTTGTTCCATAGGTTCGTGTTCCTCACAGTCCATGGTATTGATCTTTTCTGAATTTTCCTCTTCATTATTAAATTGTAAATTTATAGACTTCCTCAAATCACAATTATTCTGTATCTCAGATGTTATCTGATCAACATTTCGTTGTACTGTGCGCGGACTTTGAGCGTGAACAGCTTGAATTTGTGCATGTAGTTTTTGCTCATAAGGTTGATTTATGAACAGCAGAGCTTCGTTTGACTCCTCATCTAGAACTTTATATATAAAAATAAAAAATGTTTATTTTTCTTCAATGAAAAGAAGAACTTGTATACAACAAAACATTTAATACTATTAAAGCCTATTGCTGAATCGCAATTCAAATAGTCAACTCGAATTCGGACAGCAAACTGTTGATAATCAACATCTGACACAGCACAGCGAACAATTTTCGCAGCAAGAATCTAATGATCACACACAACAAACAAGTAAACTCGAATTTGGACAGCAAACTTTCAATGATCAGCATCTGACACAGCACAACGAACAATTAATGCAGCAAAACTATGATGATCTCTCGCAACAAACGAGTGGTAAACTTGAATTCGGTCAGCAAACTGTTGGCAATCAACATTTAGAAGATCCAAAGCAACAAGCTGAACAATTTGAGACAGCGAGATCCGACGATTACACGCAACAGACGGTAGGTAAATTGGAATTTGGACAGCAAACAGATGACACTCAGCAATTAACGCAACAAACCGAACATTTTGTGCAACGAGCTGCAAGATCCAAAGATTTAACGCAACGAACAAGCGGTAAACTCGAATTCGGACAGCAGACTATTAATAATCAACACATGGAAGACTCAACACAGCAAACTACCGGTAAACTAAAATTGCAATCGATAGATAAACTTGTTAATCCAAAAAATCAACATTTAGAGGAATTTGACAGTGAAGATTTCTCTCAACAGGCGAGAGGACACGATGATTTTACGCAACAGATAATGGGTCAACTAGAATTTGGACAGCAACAATCCAATAATCCAAAGGTTGGTCAACATTCGGAAGATTTTACTCAGCCGGATGAAGACTTAACCCAACAGATTGGAGGATTTGACGATTTCACCCAGCAAGGACGCTTGGAATATGGACAACAAAGAGAGCAATCGCAGAAACCTGGCTGGCCAGGATACAATACTCGACACCCGGAACATTTTTCTCAACAAGATGAGTGGAATACAGATGATCTTTCACAACAATCGCATCAATATCCGTCCTATGGTAATAATAATAATGAACAGTCAGAATGGCAATTGGATATGTCGCAGAAAACGGAGCAAGATTTTACTCAACAAAACGATGATCGTCAATTCGCGACAAAACCGGCACCGGCACCAAAACCAAAGCCGAGACAGAGACATCAGAAACACGACTCCATTCCACCGCATACAGATGGTACAGATACGAATCTCAATAATATTTTTGAACCGATTGAAGTAAACCCGGAAACTGATATAGATAATCTCCAGGGAAAAACTGGCCAACACAGCAGTCGTTTGACACATTCCAGATCTGATCATCGTAGATCGAATATTCCATACGCACAAAGTCAAGGAAGCAGTGTATTTGACAACGAAAAAGAAAACATGGATCGCTTGCATTGGGTACATAAATCGAACGATGCTACAGTAGGCCTGCAATGGCATTACACTTATCATCCAAGCGATCTAACTAACATCGAAAGTTCACACAACAGTTATTATCCACATAATGTCAACTCGATGTCGCAGCAAACGGAAGATGCACAGCAGCAAGAACAATTGAGACCATTTAACTTTAGTCAACAGGAGACACAAGATAAGCATACATTTGAAGATGCCCATGTTTCTCAAACATCGCAAGATCGACACAACGAACATCATCAACAGCTAGAATCATTTCAACAAACTGAAACATCCCACTTTGACAGTCAGTTTAATCAAAATTCTGAACAAACCCCATTAAGGGTAATACCGTTGCAAAATTTGCAACAGACGGAAACTACAGAACAGACAGAACTCAAAATAGAGTCGCGAATTTTGGAAGCATACGGCGGAGGACCATATCATGCGTCCCGTGACGATGACATTTATAGGAGAGTCAGGCCAAATCCCAGCGCTACTTTGCCACCCCTTGGTGGTGAGGACCCATGGGATATCAGGGAAAAGCCAAGGGAGATAATACCATGGACAGTAGTAACTACATTGCCCGCAGCAAATACGCCAAATGTCAGGGATGCAACTACAACAGAAGAGACAGAGATTACAACGCAGATAATAGAGGGTACGACAGTGGAAGCACCACCGTCCTTCTGGAATAGACTTGGACATAAAATAACCAGAACATATGATAAAGCTAAGGAAAAAGCTAAAGAGTACTTTGGTTAGGTATCTCTCATGTTCTTTCTACTTATTTAAAAATTAGTTATTTATGCGTAACAAAAAAAAAATGGATTTTTTTAAAAGTATATTTTATGTTAAATACGATCATAAAAAATAAATGATGTATATGCTTATTATATATAATAAAGATATTATATATACTTGTGTCCACAGATTGTTCTTTAATAGGAGCCATATCTTCCCTCGTTAATCCAAAAGTCAATCCAGTAGTTTTAGTATAATTAGTGCTACCCGAACTGCTTGAAACATATTCCCGTGTGGTTTCCAATATTACACTCAATTTATCATCACCTTCTGCATTAGGTGCTTCCGCAATTCTATTCAACATAAATAAAGTTCAAGTTGTAAATGTTTTTCAATATGTACCTATAAAAATATCAAAAGCAGATTGATACCTACGGTTGGATAGTATTCTGATTTGGAAATTGCAGATCATCTTTCATTCTGTAGGATGGCTTGAAATTATTAGTCATTGGCGTAGAACTTGTTAAGTGCGTGTTAAAGGCTTCTGTATAACACGTCTCGTTAATGGTCGAAAGAGGAGTTATACCTAGACTATCGTCGATATATAGATTATTCTCGTCTAATTTTGGTACCATATTTTCTTCGAGCGGACCGTTGTAATCCACGACGATAGCGTTTTCTTTGTCTTCCGCGCTCTCGAGATATTTGATGTCTTTACGATTCATTCCGGGTGACTTGATGTATGGTAACTCGGGTGGCATTCTGTATGGTTTGCTCGGTTCAATGTCCGGATCGTTATAAGGCGAGAAATGTAATTGTTTCTGTGACTCTATATTCTGTTGCAACATAGCTGGAGTTTCCACTGATGTCGGATATTGTTGATATCCGATGTCGGTGGGCAACATGTTGCCGTAAACGGGATGCTGAATATGTTGCATATGTTGATGCATATGCTGTGGCGGCTGAGAATGCAAGATATGTTGATTGTGCGGAGACTGATGATGATGAATGTGCGGCTGATGATGCGGCATTTGACCGTGAGGCGCTTGCAAATGCTGCGAATGAGAGAGAGACTGATGATGCACAGTGTGCATTTGCTGATGTGATGGAATCATTTGGTGCTGCTGCTGATGATGTTGGGGGTGGTGCTGCCGAGGATGGTGTTGGGACTGTTGCGCTTGGTGATCGTGATGTTGCTGCAACCAATAAGATTTTATTGTTACACAGATTCAAATCTAAATATTTCGTTACCTTAGGCTTATACAATATCCAATATATATATATATATATATATATGTAGTTTAGAAGAGTAAAGCATTATTTTACAAATGTTTTCTATACCTGGATCTGATAATAACTGTTTGGTAGACTATGATTTGCATATCCAGCATTTTGTTCTTGATCTGAGTAACTATGATGCTGTGCATGATAACTCTGATGATTCTCTTGATCGTTATAAACCTGCATGTTGTATCCCTGATGATGAGGCTTATTACTAGACATCACATGTTGTGTCATAGAGCTATCCATGTGTATATCGAACGGCAACTTGTTTCTTGAATCCACTATTCTAGGTGCCACGGGATGGCTACGAAAGCGCATGGTCGTATCCGGGGATTGCCACAGACCTTGTACAACCGAAATAGCTTCCTTCGTGTTTACGGTAAGACTCTGCCCGAGTAGGTGCTCCTCGGCATCGGCGGTCAAGGATGAAGTGTGATGTTGATGTATAAACTGATTCGACGATTGTAATTTGCGCTGTGTATTTAATTCCGCTTCTATTCGCCGCGCCTCAAGTCTCTCAGCCTCTAACCTTTCCAATTCTCTTTGTTCTGCTTCTTGTCGTTGTGTCTCTAAAACCTGATTCTCAACTTCATACTGCTGCCTCTGCAATTCCTGTTGCTCAGCCTGGAGTCTACTAATCTCAGCTTCTCTTCTTTGATGATTGAGTTTCTGCTCCTCTATTTCTTGTAAATGATACATACTCTCGTAATTGTTCAGCTGAGATTGAGATTCACCATCGGTCTCGCGTAAACAAACCATCGATATTTCATGTTTATTTTCCAAAAGTTGTGCTCTTCTGCATAAAAAATCATATTATATCATTATTATATACATTAATGAGCGATATCCTACATAAGATAATGTAGTATATAATGATAAAAATAATAAAGTACATTTTTATAAGATAAACATACCAAATGTTCTTTCTACTTATTTAAAAATTAGTTATTTATGCGTAACAAAATTTTTCTATTCTAATTTTTAATATATTGAATTGTTACATTTGTAACTATCAGTAATATTTGCAGTTACTGATGATATCAAGGCAAAGGCAAGAAACATATAATCATGGTATCATAAGTTTACCATTTTAACATATTCTGAATTAGTATTATAAAACATTATATTACTATAAGATATTTTTCACACATTTTTTGTAAGTAAAAATATATTAATATCAAATCTGTTTTATATAATATCAAGATACAGAAACAAATTTTCCATTCTGTATCTTTAAATATTTTTTCACACAACATCTATATATTTTTTTCACAAAATATTATTTTATCAATGATTCAAATATAGATACAAGTAAAATTTAGTAAAGATACAAATACATAAACAAAGAAAAGCTAATTGTAATCACACTTTTGTTTTCTTTTCAATATTGTTAAGAAAAAAACTGTCAGCGAAAGGAAAGATCAAACTTATTTGTTCCTGATATGTTAACAAAATAAAAATATTTTACACAAATAGAAATCCAATCTTTTTTGTAAACTACATTTCTAGATCTTATTAACATTTAATTACAATAAAAAATTTCAAATATTTTTTGATTATAAATCTTTACTAAAGCTAAACAATTTCTATACCTTATTTCTCAGAATCAATATAAATTATAAATTATTTAAAATCAACTTGAAAAAGAATAGTATTTATATAACATAATAATAAAAATAGCCTGTTTCCTCCAATTATTATAAATAATATTACGCTTTAATCTTTTTTTAAGTATTTTTAACATGTCTATCAATATAATATAGAACAAAATTTTTCAATAAACTAAATACATTGATAGTAAAAAAACATTGATAATAGATTTAGAACATTGATTATAGGCTAACATTAGATGTAGCCAATACATAAATTATAGAAAATAGAAGATATAGTACATAAAATAGAAAATATTTCGACAACTATAAAATTTATATTTAATTTATTATAATAACGTGTTTGCTTACCTCTGGAAGATTCTTAAAAAATCTAACAAAGCTCTGTTGTGTAGGAGGGTCTGAAATAAATAGTTATATTGAAAGACACAACACAATAGAAGTGTACGGTGTAAAATGTTGGTTAGAGATTTTTTCATACCCATACTCAACTGTTGATTAGGTTGTACTGCCATTGTTTGTAATAAAATACAATACAACACGAGCGGTGAAACGAGATGCAACGAGTATTAAAAGAAATCACTATCGAAGATTTATTAAATCAGAAAAGATTTCTCACTAAAAATACTCTCTCTTCGACACACACGGTCTCACCTTCGATTCGCGCTATTTTCGCGAAACTGTTTACTTCGCATTTGAAAGTCTAGCTCGACGATCATTGGCTGCGATCTGATAAAGCAAACTACGTTGTGTGATCGAATTTGATTGGTCTATTCAGAGTTGCGTTCAAAAATCGATCTGTAGAGTAGAGTATAATTGGCCAATCGGAATAAAGAAATTTTTGCTCATTTTATCTTGATTGGTCGAGCAAACGCTACTCTACCCGACGAGTAAATTTTCGAACGCAACCTTAGATGCGTATCAGACAGACCAATTAGATTGAAATGTAAATAATATTTGCAAAAATAGCGGGAATCAAAATGAGATCGTTTGCGTTGACGAGGAGAAGAGTTTTAGAAACAATCAGACTCTGTTAAATATCACACACACTCAAGTTCGAGGAAAAACGCAGAGATTTAAATCGAATGATTCAAATCGGACGACTTTATAATCTACGTTTCTCGAATGGAATATTGTTGCTGACCCGAATAATTCTCTTCAATTCTGCGAGTAAAAAATATTTTAGATATTTTGATGTCACAGAACAATCTTAATCTGTCAGTTTCTACAATCGATTATTTTTATGATTATCGTATTATTAGTTTATATTATTTATATATATTATTACTATTTTATTTGACTTTTTCTCATCTTTGGCTCATAGATGCATGCACAATTTGATCACACACTCACACACACGCACATTTTAGACTATTCCCAATAAGATATATTTAAATATATTTTTGTCTATTTTAGAAAAGCAATAATAATGGTTATTTCTAAACTTTTATAAAAAGTTTCTTAATTTATAAAATAATCATTAAAAACATTATAGTTCTCTTTTTGTTATAGATTGTTTCACAAGTAATAATATATATTGTGTCAAGTGTATCCAAATACTGCATTTAGAAATAGATATTTTGAAATAAGTTTAATTAAGCTACTTAAATATAAATAAAATTGTTTGCTTAATTACAGGTTAAAAACTCGGAAATATTATTTAAACAAACAAAAAAATATTTAACATAATGTATAAAGTAATAATGATAATCTTTGTATCCGTTTGCAAAATCAATACTGATTTTTTATTAAAGAAAACGTTATATTAATAGTAATTTGTCGAATAACAGGGATCTTGTATAATACTAGAAATTCTGCAATATTTTATATGTATATGTAATATTTTTGCAAATCTTTTCCTTTATATATATATAT